ATCGGATTCTGGAGACGGTACTGATCCCCGAATCCCCTCCTGAATTTCACACATGATTCATGCGCATGGTTCTCACTGTCACAGTTATACAGACATCAAAGGAAATGCGTAGCCGAACTCTACCACAATGCAATTTGTTTATCCTGTCCCAGAAAGGTTCAGATTTCACAGTCTCATGTGTTGTGTTGAATCTTCTTCTCACGCAGACGTGTACCAGCAACCACAGTCAAAAGCTGAAAACTTAAAAAAGGCCACCCCTTCCTTCATTTTCAGATGCATGGTAATTTAGGTGGCCAAAAAGCTGAGGTCCCCTCAGCAACATGAAACTCATAACCACATGTACTGCGACTGATGCGTACACAAGCACCTGTGCAGTGTGCTTCTCTGTCACTCATACGCAAAAATGGCATTTTACAGCATTTAACTCCTTCTTTAAAAAAATCACACATATTCACTTTCAACATTGCCCCACCTACTACAAATATACCAACCCAGAACTGCACAACTTAAAGCAGAGCCTCTCAGCCAACACCAGTATCAGTTTCACAGCTACACACAGACAGCCCACACAGATGGCGTCTTATACTAGCACACCATGATAAAGAAGAACTCACGCACACACAATAAGAACTGCTACTCAAACAGAGATTGCCTCTTAATATATAAAGCTGAAAAGAAAACACACGTACAGTACATACACCTGCTCCAGGACAGCATTAGCCTGTAATGCAGACGAGGTCCAGAAAAACACAGGTGCCTTTGGGCTCACGCTGCTGTCCATGTGCAGAGGGGACGGAAGAGATCACCAGTCCCTTTGCTAGCATGAGCACGGGGGGCAAGCCTCGACTGCTTTCTCTCCATCACACACTCTTGTGGTCTTCCTCGTGTGGCGCTCAGCTATTCTAATCTCCTCACAGGCAGAAAAGCAATATTAAGTCACTGAGGAAGGGAGGCCAGACCAACTCGGCAGCCTGGCAAAAAGGAGAGGGGGGCAAGGAGACAGCTGTTTACACACTCCTCTCCAATACCCGCACAACAACGCAGTCACTCGCAGTGTGGAGTTTGCAGAAAACAAGCACAAAAACAATTACTAATAGTTTCACGACAATTATAAAATGATAGGCTGCTTTTCTGGCAAACTCCAAGGCACCCTGTATACTTTCACCCCTTTTCCTGATTGTAATGGTGTGTTCCGTGAGAAGCTGCTCAGTCACTGTTGCTGACTAGACCTCTTCACTCCAGCAACACGGAATGGGGGAGAAAACACAATGCAGGCCTATATAACTATTAACTCTGTATAGCAAACAGAAAGCTTTCCCATTCGTCTACACAGTTACATGCTGGATTATCATTTAATTGTTTTAACTTTAATTGATTTCCTGCATCAAAACAGCCACAGTTTTCACTGAAGCTACTGACTAAGCCATGTTTAACAGATTCCTGCATATTGTGTTAATGTATAACACCTTTCATCACAACTAGGGACCCTGAAGCACTTCGAAACATGCCCTTTTCTAAACCAACAATCTTCACTTGAGTCCTTTAGTCTGGGGAGACTGACAGTTGTTGTATGATAGCCGTCCATCCAGCAGAATAACCATAGGCACAGTCTCTTCCTTCAATGCTGAGCTTTTTTTCACAACAACACTGATAAGAAAACATTAGAAAAGTTACAAAGAAAAGGAAGCCATTTGGCTCATCTAACTCTTTTGGTGGCAAGCAGCTACTGTAAGTGACCAGAGGATCTAACTTGACCCTGAAACAAGTCAATTAGCATAGGAAGATATGAAGTCCAGAATAAGTGCTGACTTGAAGCTTGTGATCCTTACATAGTGTCTCACTCATTAATGAACAAGCCATCAATCCATTTTCTAAACGCTTAATCCAGTACAGGGTCATGGCGAAGACGGAGTCTATCCCAGCAAGCAATGGGCACAAAGCAGGAAACCCAGGATGGGATGACAGTCCATCGCCGGGCACATACAGACACAAATACACACACTCACTATGTTCAATTTACCCAGAAACGACAGTACTTAAACTCCCAGTCTGGAAACCACAGCACCCGGAGGAAATCCAAGGGAATACAGGGTGAACATACAAACTCCACACAGATAGCACCCCAGGAACTGAACCCAGGGCCCCAGTGCTGAGAGGCAGCAATGCTAACCACTGCACTGTAATCACCGTCTCCTCTTGAGCAAGCCATGTGTATCAAATTTAATAACTCAAACTTGTAACCATTCCACCGCATTAACTATACTTCAACAAAAGTCTGCTCTAGTTTCAACCACAGGTCACACAGCTTATGCCTTTCAGCCCAGAAATCAGTTACACTGCCTTTTTCAGAACCTTCTCTGAGGCATCAATGTCCTTTTTATGACATTGTATTCTAAACGTATTCTGTGACATTGTAAAAGTTCATCATCGCCTTTTAGAATGTACATTGTACGTTCTCTGACATAAACCCCAACATTCATGGTTTGCCTTTTCAAGTGTTTATCCTAAATCCCCTTTCCTATCAGAATTCTGCTCAGCTTTCAATACTCCTCCAGCCTGGAACAGATGCAGTGTTTGAAGTTGCCCCTAAATTAGAACTAAAAGTGATATTGACAGGCGACAGGTGTCAGAAAACACTTTCGATCTGCTTATAAAAAACATAGAAAATCTTTTGGCTGAAAAGATGTGCTTTTCTCAAATATACTGTACTGTACAAGGGATACACACTTCTTACCAAGTAGCACCTATCGAATACAAAGAGGACAAAGGAACAAGTGAGAGAGCTCATCACACACTGACATTAAAGAAGCACAGCTTAATCAATGGGATGGTAGAGTCAAACCTGTGGAGCAACTGAACTAGTTCGCGCCTTCAATAAGCAGGAGCAGATAGGCAAAGGCATTCTGGAACGGCAGCACTTGTGCTCTAACCTGAGCTTCGCTCCCTTATTCTTACTACCTGTATGATCCTGCTTCAAAGCTGACATCACTGGGCTGAAAAAATCATGCTGAAACTCAGCAAGCTTAAATCCCTAAATAAAGACAGGTACAGAATTCAGACCAAAGATCCAGGAGCAAATGCTCCACTACCCCCCAAAGGGAACTATTTGGCTGTGTCACACAGTTTAGGATTGTGAGGAACACATTCATTTAGTCCATATAACCTCTGTCGCCCCATGTCTGGACCTCTTTCAGATTGCATTTATCAACAACCCTGAGAGTGTCAGAGTACTGAGTATTACCCCACTCCCCATATCATTTAATGAGGTTGCACTTCATGCCCCTATCCACCTTGTTTAAAAAACGCCCTCTGCCACGCACAGAATTTGAAATCTGAAAGAAATTTACATGAACTTTTAGCATGAACTGCTAAAACACTCGAATGCGCCAAATGTCACAGAGTGCAAAATGAAGTGGGTACTTGTGAGCTAGAGAAAGAACTCACTGGTCTCCAGCAGTTAACCCCGTTGAGATACCTTAGCCCAAACATTATAATCATTGCCTGAGCAAAATGGACTGGCTCAATTTAAAATTAGACTAAAAGCTTTTCAAAAGGCTAAATTAATTTGAGTAATGTATCCCCATGTGCTGTAGCATGAAACCATACTCCCTGAGAGTAGCTTTCTAAAGCCTCATGTTGCCTAGGAGGCTGGGAATGGAGAACTCATGGACCAGACCAAATCTCTGGGGAATAAAATGGGTTTATCCTCTCATTTTTAAAGTTATCCTGTTTTTTTTAATGAATGTGCAGATTGTTTCTCTGCATGAAATCTATCGGGAATATGACAGAATAAATGAACAGATTCCAAACTGGGTAAGTCATACTCCCTTTGGTTAAAGAGTGTACACAAATCTACAATGCCATTTATCAAACAATTTTCTTGTTTCTGTATCCAGCTAAATACAGCGGATTCATTATCAGGTAGATATTCAATGCATGTAAGATTAGATTTCTCCTCGTGACAAGTAGTTTCCATGGAAACAGCCAAGGTTTTTTTTTATTACCAAAAGACAGCTAATCTTTAAGCTCCAAAATATATATATATACTTTGAAAATAAAAATAGTGCATCTGTGTACATTTGGAGTTGGGTTCTTTGAATTAGCTGGTTCTGTTTTTACTGACAGCTGTGATGTGTAAAATGTCAATAACCACAGTGGTCTTTAATAAATATTTTAGATAAAAAAGATGCCATCTTATGCCCCAGAATCCCCCCAAAAAAACATGTTTTTTGGATTAGAAAGATACTTCATTTTCCTGTGGGATGATTGCTGATGTCAATCTTTAATGGCAAATCCTTTCATCTCAGGAACTGAAAGAAATTCACTGACACAAATCTTTTATTTACAGAAGCTCAAGAAATATTAATATGGCTAAGCCCAGATGGTAATAACATCTATGTGAGACGGGCATTATAGCCACATTACAGCAATTCATTATTTTCAGACCCCACCCATGAAAGTGTTTTTGCCAGCACTAAGATCGCAAATAATTTCTGGCCTTTGAACCAAACTGCAGAGATTATTTTTTACGCAGCAAGTCCTTTCTACAGTACGAAAATTTCAACCACTTTGGTAAACACAACCTGCAGAACAGGATACCTGTTGTTCGGGTGGAGCTCATATGACACTCCTACTTGTCCACAGACAGACAGAGATAAACAGGCTTCTCTACATCACGGCTCACAAGAAAACGCGGAGGTCGATTTCTCTGTGGGAGCCGAGACGTGTTTATGGTCTGTTCGATGGATTTTGTCGGGGACGGGTGAAGAAGGTCAAAGCTCTACACCCGCGCATGCACGATTCCAGTCCTAGTTGGGCGGCAACTAAGTCCAGTGCCTTAAAATTTGGGGAAAGGCATCAATTGGTCCAGTTAGGCCAAAAGGTACTTGAACTGGGGAGTTAAAAAGTCAGCTGGAACGAAAATGTGCTGGCAATCCAGGACTGAAGTCGTGCTGCCCTGTTTTACATACCCTTCAGAGAGCCATACTGGCATTACTCACTAGAACAGGAGTCCAGAAAGACACACATGTGGGGCCGCTGCTGTGGTCTTCTTTGCAGATGGAGGAGGAGGGGGGCGGTTGGGGGAGCTCAGCTAAGGCACCATGTCCTCCCTGTCAGGCAGCACTGTCCCGCTGAGAGGGGGAAGGGCAGGAGGGGTCTGAAGAGGTGCAGCACCTAATAGGGACAGAAATAGCAGATGGGAAGGGTTAAATTAAACAGTAATTAAGATTTTCCTGCCCAGAGAGAAATTCTACATAGGTGGAATGAATGGGGTATTCATTAAAAAAATCACAGTGCTTTAATGTGCTCTTCTCTACACATGTGATAAATCTATTAGGAAATATGAAGCAGGTGAATAAGATCTGAGGCTAACTGGTCTCCATCAACATCAAGAACATTACAGGCAAGCCCAGACTACAATTAACTGAATATGCCATGCAAAGCACTAGCATATTTGGGTCATGTTAAAAATATTAGGCATTGTGTAGGTCCTTTAGCTGCTTGCAAAGCACATTTCCATCTGGGACAATAAAGAAAAGAAGCACAAGGTCCCATAACAATCAGGATCACCTGCAATTCATCACAGTGCTCCAGTCTATGGGAGGAGACCCTTATCAATCTATCCCTCCCTCCATGTCCCCAGGGGGTGGAATTTAATAACTGAGGTAACAGGGGTAAACACCACTAGTCTACCAAACACTACCTTGGGATCTTTACTAACGAAGTAGTCAGAACCTCCCTTTAATGTAACAGGAGGGACATTGGTTGGTCCACAATTTACAGCCCCCTCTTCTTCCTTGGAGGTGTCTCATCCCAGTACTGATCAGACCAACCTTGCTTGGTTACTGACAGCTGGCAAGATCAGGCTACATTTTATAATAATTTCTCACACAAAGAGACACAAAACACCCACGTTCAGAGGAAATAGTACATTTTTGTATTATTGGGGACTTCACTTCCCCATATTTGACATAAGAAATGTACCTTTCCTAGCTCTACATTTAAGGTCAGCTTGAGTTGTTTCTTACCAGAGAATCTTAAATGAGCCCTGTCTGTTCTTTTAGCCTATAACCTAACCCTTGGTTAGTCCTTGTTCAGGTTAGAGGAAGAAGGTTTGCAAAACAGTTTCTGGAAATAATTATGAAAAAAAAGAATGGGGTATATAATACAAATTCTAAATTCTAAATTAAGCACTTATGTATTAATATGAAATGTTAACTACTGTAGCATTATATATACTGTATATATCAGGCAAGCTATCACCAAGTGCTATATTTGATCACAGACTATTTTATCAATTTAAATACAAGGTCTAATGACTGCCTATTTTTTACTCATGAAAGGCTACTAGTATCGATGCATTGCTTGCAACATAGTGTAAGTATATAGTGTAAATACTGATAATGAGCTTATCTAATTTAATCAAGACAATACATAGTACATTTAAATGCCCAAAAGTATTCCATATATACAGTATCCTTCTATAAATGCAGTTTCTTTGGAAAATAAAAGGGAATTTTCTTACTCTCAAGATTTTAAATAGTGAGGAAAGGACCCAGCACTAGTTTTCAGAATATCAGAGGTAATCAAAGCCATGTAAATCTCTTATTCTCGATATGAGGCTGAAGCCATAAAATGCAGAGTCAGCAAGAGCCTGAGACGAGAGACCTAAATGCACAGGTTCCACAACGCACAATGCAATGAACTGCCTTGGGTCTGATGATGACACTGCAGCTTTGGTGAGGATTGTGAAGGAAATGGATGTGGTAAAACAACTAGATTAAAAAGGCTATTGTAATTTGCTTTTTAAAAAAGGTGATGGAAAGATATACAGTACCAGAGGTAGTACTGGAGAGACTTGCAAAATCGCAGAACCAAAGTCATCATATGAGCAGTATGCTAGCAATTGTTAAATATTTAATGAACACCACAAATAAACATTACAAAAACAAACTGGAAAACCACTACTCTTGTTCTCTAATGCATGTTGCCTCAGCAGGTTAAATGGATATTTCATTTCATGCAAATTTGGAATAAGAAATTCGAATGGATGTAAACAGATAATTTGAAATATAAATACTAACTTCTAATATTCTGAATACTTTAAGCTCCACAAACACTTGTGCCATGAAAGCATACTGATAGTTGTGTCTACACAGCCTGTAGTCTTCTCCACAGTAAAGTAGCATAGATATAAATACTGACTATAGTATGTCGAAAAAAACTCAGTCTTCACTCAGGTTGGGAGATTGTCAAACAGAGTTCTTAAATACAATCAGCTGAAAGGGAGCACATCACAGAGAAAGGGTTTCCCCTAGCACTCAAAACATGCTCACTGGACTGAAGTTACACTTTCTTTTTGATACATTAAAAGTAGGCAAGACTTTAACATATCAAAGGAACATACAGGGAAAGGGCAGTGTCAGAAGGCAAACAAAACAGGACAGGAAGATGCAATTTGTTCTATTTGTTCTCTGTTTTATTTCTCTCTGGTTGAATGGGTGTGAGGAATCACAGGCTTTAGTTTGCACCTAAGACCACTGCGAACAGAAAACCTTTCCCGTGCATAGCCATTGTCTTGACCTTTTGACTCGGTCTTCCACAGTAAGTGGACACAGTAAATATACAGAGTATGCAGCATGCAATGCTGGAAAAACTATACCGAAATCTTAATTTCAAAGTGTTTTAAAGTGCTTATAATGAAAAATAATAGGTAATCTGACACAAGAGATGACAGATGCTGAGGAAACACGATGGACAGAAAGAAATGCGTTTGGAGAAGGATTCGAGTCCATGCAATAATGCTCCCAAAAAGGCAAACACATTATTTTGCAGAAGCCTAATTCATACAGCATGTTAGTGATATTTCATGCCAAATGGAGTGTTTGTGGCTCATTAAAGTAGTTTAGCAACTTCACAGCAAGATAGTATGTCGGAAGTGGTGCAGTCTCTGTAAAAAGGATGCCATAAAACATAACTAGTTTTATGCATTACAGCAATTTGATAAAAAAAATATAAACCACACTGTTTTGAGCTACGAAAACAGCAGTACGCCAATCATGCTTCTTTACCAATTGGAAAAACGTGTTTTTAACTTAACAGCCACTTATCACTCCATCTTTATGACATATGGCTGAGTGCACTTCACTTCTTCTTTGCTTGTCCTGCATTTTCTTCATTGTTGTTGACAAGAAAATTCAAGAAAAATGCTTGTTTCTTTGTTTTTTTCCCCAAACACTTTATACTGAATCAATGTATGGTTCACCTGCTTCCTTGAAAAGGTAGAAGACTTCCCAAGAACCGAAAACCAGGACCTTGGACAGCACCGTTTGAGCACAGTCTTACCGAAAGTGGCCTTTCCAATAAGTTAGTGGCCCTTACCGGTTGTTCGGTAAGGGTAAGTGGCCCTTACCGAAAGGGGTTGTTGACCGCCTTGAAAATAACTGAACATCTGGGGCACCAAGATATTATTTCACATACAATCCTGTGTTTTAGAACATCCTGCATAACAGACTGTACCTCGGGTTGCTCCATTTCAAACCTAACCAAATGGATGTTCTCTTTGGTCCGTAAAAGTAGGAATGCATACAATCGCAAAAAGTTTCTTCTTCTCAGTTAGGATCACAAAGAACACGTAAAACGCTGACATTTCAGTGCACTTTTTGTGAATATCCAATGAAAAGCAGTGAACAAAAAAATATTCTTTATTTGCAACAAGCCTGCTACTATAGTAATCCATAGCCAAAACATACAGTAAATGGAATCAAAAATAAGAATCTATACTGTAGGACACTTTGGAATGTGTAGTGCTTATTTTATTTCCATTCGAAAGAACAGCACTGCAACAAAAAAAGCCTGTTTTACTTGTAATTTTGTACTGAATCACTCTCACTTATCAAAACTGTTAAGCACATGAATGGACACAAAACATTTTTGTTGTTTTTTTTTCCCCTGGTAATTTACCTCAGTTACAAATTTAATTGAGCCTTTGTAACTGGATAGCCTGGATAGGCTGATTCACCAGCTGTTAAAGCAAACCAATACACACTTGATTTGTTCCTTATTTATTTCTATTTAATTTCTTGTCAGCAGTACCAACTCCATCTACTGATGAGCTCAAAGGTTGGTTGTTTTTAGACAAAGCATTACAAGCTTTGTTTCATGTCAATGTCTAAAAGACTTCAGAACAACACTGAAACATTAGACATATTTTTTAGTACCAAAGTGGTTTTCTCTTGGTGTTTACAGTTTGCATGTGGTTTTACGTTGTCTAAACCAATACTGGTACAATCTCTTCTGGTATGGTTGTCAGGTGCTTGTTGTAAAGGTTCTCATGAGATATTAGAATTACTGTTGTGGCTTTGGGGCTCGGACTAGGATTCTCCGAGACACCTCTCCTGAAGCTTCTCTTAGTCTGTTAGTCAGATCATTCACTTCCCCAGGTATGCTGGCTATTGATGGAAGACATGATGTGAATGCTGACCCATCGCTTCCCACATAACAGTGGTTATCTAAAATGCACATCCACATGCAAAACATACAGCAAATGGAATCAAAAATAAGAATCTATACTGTAGGACACTTCGAGATGTATAGTGCTTATTTTTTTTCATTCTGAAGTGCAACACTGCAACAAATCGGCCTGTTTTCCTTGTACATTTGCACTCCATCACTCTCACTTATCAAAACTGTAAAGCAAATGTTTGGACAACAAAATATTTCTGTTGTTTTCTGTGGCAATTTACCTTAGTTACAAATGTAATTTTGTCTTTGCAGCTGTACAGGCTGATTCACCAGCCATTAAAGCAAACCAATACACACTTGATTTGCTCCTGACTTCTATATAATTTCTGTTTTTATTTCTTGTCTTTCTGTTTAATTCTTTCATTTAAATGTTGTCAGCAGCAGAAATTCCATCTACAAGCCCCATGAACCAGGGCCTAAATTAGGACATATGAAAACTTGAACAGTACTGCAAAACATGACTACTCTTCCGCCTCCAAAATGCAGAAACTGTTGATTTTCTTGATGAAGTTCCATGAACAAATTAGGTTTAAAGTTCAATGGATGCATTGATTTCTTTGAGGTTTGGTGTGTTTTTAAAAATCTGCCCTGAATCAAAGCGTTCCAAGGATTATGTAGCAAACACCTTCCATCCATTTTTTGTATCTAAC